TACACACAGTTTTACAGGAGTTTTCTTTCAAGGCTTGAAAACTACCAGATTGACAGCTCCAGTGAATTAAGCTCCCTCTTTGTCAACAAAACAAGAGCAGCACCACAGGCAACCTCAGAACAAGCTCCCTCTATCCTTCTCTTCCCACCCCTCCAACTAGCAAGTGTATCTGAATGCTGAGCTTCACACACAGCTCTATCATGCCAGGGTGCCTCGTACAGAGTCTCTGATAACACAGTTTACCCAGACTATCTCAAAGGACACTTATGTTAAAGCCACACATGCTGGAAACATCATGACTCAACACATTATCAGCGTCTACCTGTTCCAGACAGCACACTAACTCTAAAACCATGAGGCTGGGCTGAGTGTATGCACATCTGTGCTTAAAGATTGACTGGCAAAGAAAATCCATTTTAGACAGCAGGGTGAAAGAACATAGAGCTGAAGCAACTCTTAAAGTCATAGTTGAGACCAGAGAAAGGCAATGTTAACTGAAAAGAAAAAAAAAAAAAAATCAATAGGAAGACAGAAAAACTCAATGCTCTCAATATAAAATGAAAGTCAGGTGCAGATTTTATTAAAAAAATTAATTACACATTTGGCATAAATGCTAGAAAAGACAGGGCTTCTGTCTATTGCAATAGTAACACAGTGCTTCACTTTCTGAGAGTGCCCCTCTGTTATGTTAGCACTTAATCTCATCAGGCAGCAAAGGAGGATCTGGACACTCCTCTCTTCAGTTACAAGGGGCATTTAGGTACCACAAGGCCCTCCACTGTTGGTTTCAAGGCACAGATTAAGTTAGAAGATAGCTTCTAAACTGTACCAAGTCTTAGTTCCTCTGCTCTCTTCTAGAAGCTTTTTTATTTTTAGCAGGAAAGCGTTTTCTTTTGGGGAAAGAACTTTTCACATCTGAACTTTGCAAGACAACTTGACCAAAATTTTTTTTTTAATTAGTCAAGAGCCAAGGTGTTTTGGTAAAATGAATATCTACACCTACGCTTAAAAATAAGTAATGCCTACTCCTTTACAGGCTTAAAAAATAAATAAATACACTAAAATCAAAACCCAATTTAAAAAAAAACCACACAGAAAATACAACTTTGTATTTGCTTATGTTTCTACTCACAGCCAAACTAGAGAACTGCCAACAAATGCCAATAAACTCCCTATATTCCTGTGATGGCAGAAATGAAAGCGAGTTCAAAAACACACTAAAAGGTTTATGTGGAGCAGATCTATCTGTGGATGCTGAATGCGGTACCATGGACACAACCATTGCCACCAAAGACTCTAAAAGTGACTGACAAAAGAAGGTCTGCCAAAGGGAAGGTGAACACATTTATTCTGCACCTCATACTTTCCCTAAGCATCTGCTCTAAGAACCCCTTCAGGTCCTGGCTGGCTGGGTTCTGTTTGCCTGTCCTCACACTCTTCAGCTGGCCTGTCACCCCAAACAGCTCCAAGCAATTACAGCCTTTGTTACAAAGCAAAACATACTGGTGGCACTTGGGTGGAAGTAGCCTCGCCATTACCCCCACCACCCTCTCATCCTTCAAAAGCAGCAAGGAGAGCCCATTCCATCTGCTCTGGTACCAGACTACCATGACAGCAGGCAGAGGGGGCTGGATCCTCAGCCTGTTAAATTCCCCAAAACTGAGACGAGATTTTGTAATCCAAGGAACAGCACATTCCAGAACAAAGCAGCATCTACGTGCAGCTGCACGACATGCAGATAGAGCTAAAGAACAACAGTATTCTGTATTTACATTCATCTCTGTGGCTTGTATTTTAACTACAAGGAAATAACCACGTTTCTCCTTGAAACACACATGGCCTGTTGGGTTTAAGTAGTCACTGCTGGACTCACTAAAACATACCATATTGCTGAAGCAGGCAACGTTTCACAGCCCACCAGTACAAATGATGACAGTTAACATCCTTGTAGGGAAAGTAGGGTGATGAGATAAGGAATAAGCCTAGTTTCTCATCAATTTTTTAACCAAATGACAAAAGCCATCTCAGAATGGCAGGGAGAAAGGACTGCAGCACTGTGGCTGCCAACAGGTCAGGCGTGGCATTTTGTAAGTGAACCTTTATGGTATCATTTCCTTCCAGCACCATTAATCACCCTTGTTCTATCAGCTATTAACCAGTTGCCCCAACCCCAACATGAAGATAACTTTATCAAGGTTAGGCAGCAAGAGCCATTACTAAGCACTACAACACACAGTGCCAAGGGCCTGGTTTCCAGAGAATCCTCTAAACTATTTCTTCCTGCTGTAACAAAACACATTTTGTATTACATGTACATTACATTACATGTACATCACATTACAGTATTACATGTATTTATCCATACCTAACATGAGGAAGAAAATTACAGAAAGTACAAAGAATCACCAGCATGTTAAAACATAGATTTCCAAAAAGGACATCAATGCTGCTTATGGCCAAAGCATTCAACTCAAACCAGGTCTCCTGAAACGCTGATTTTTAGCTCATCATTGCCCTCTGAGGGGGCACGTTCTCAATATCCATGAATATCTGATGAGACAACCGTGGGGCTTCAGAATGACAGGCAGGAACTTCAGAATCACATGCAAGAGCATTTACCAAATCAGGAGCATCACAGCTTAAGATTTAGTACTCTGTATTTTGCTACAGACATGTCTTATTCACTTATTTTTCTTCCTTTGCCAGTGGCACTATGGAGAATTCAGTTTCACAAGGCAGTGCCTCAGGACCCAGACTGGACATGCAGAACCAGCGTGTTACAAAGGGAAAGAACCAAAGATGCCATTTTGACAAGAAGGAAGAAAAGTCTGCGAGGGGTATGATGAAGACCAAAAATAAGCCTGTTTCTGAGGAGGAAGGACCAACTTCAAATTCTTCCAAGCAAGGAAAATTGACTCGGCAGTGTGTTATAAGACATGTTACAAATCTTCACTAACTGGCATCAGAAGGGTGAAGATTAAGAAGCTCAATGTGAACTGAACCTGCTTCCAAGCCCTGTGTCTGGCTCTGGCAATTGCTTTCCTAGAAGTGTCATTAGATGTGGAAATATGACTTTCTCCACCCTACAGATCAGAGCCTTGAGTGCCCTCAGAGCAACCTCTCAATGTGCATACACACCCTGCTGCCTGCAGAGGTAGTGCCTTGGCTGTGGGAAAGAGCAGACTTCTGCTTTCCCAATTCACAGGAATTATTTTACATGAGTGGCAATCACCCCAGTCAAATTAGCCCAAGCACTGAAGCTGGGAGGAAAGAACTACAAGTAAGGATATTCTTCTCAGAAATAAAGGACACCTCCTTCAGTGAAACTCAGTCATTTCGAAAGCCATTCCTAAAGAGCAGTGGTTTTCTTCCAAATAGGACTTGTCTGTGTAGACAGACAGAATTTGGACAGTATGAAAGTATCAGCAGCTTCCTCCTTGATCATATAAAGCACATAACTCCTTCTGAGCAGAGTTAAATGCCATCAGTACAAAACAAGCCATTGTTTCAAGGACTGAACACTGAACTCAAAAATGAGAAAACGGAAGATAACCAGACAAGAGAGGGTTTGTTCTACAACACTGTGCCACAGATGTGACGAGCCCAGGTGCTTATTTTATCTATTATCACACTTATTTAGCGTGTTTCACATGCACTGCTTCCTTCTTTCTTTGGAACAAGTTCAAGAAAGTCATCTCGCCAAAAAGTATCAACTGTTGAGATGAATAGTACATTATCTGGTCAATATCAGGAGATATGATATCAATTCCCAGGTGCAGCACATTAAGATGGAGGAAACGCTTTCTGTCATCACTGACACCCCACTCACACTGAGCCTCTATATGGAAGAGATCTGCACATATTTAGATTGCGTGCTTAGACTGCCCAAGTCATGACTCCCAAATTAGCAAATGGACTTCAAGCTACTTAATGCACACTAAGAATGGTTTCTAAGGTACCTTCCGCACTATTACAGATTGAACCAAACCAGTGACAGCACTGATCTCAGGAGAGGTCAACATCTCTGCTCTGAAACAGCCCCACAGGCCTGTATCATTCCCAGCATATTTATCCAAGGTGGTTCTAGAGATCTCAAGAAAAAATTCCACTGCCTACCTGGACAATCACAGTGTCTTTTACACTTACCTATCATCCCTCCTTGGCCCAGTTGAAGGCCACTACTTTTTCTTCTACCTGAACTGGGGAATATGCTTGGCAGAAGAAGAGGGAGCATGTGTTGTTTTTTCCCTTTCTACAAGGTCAATATCTACAATAGGTCAAGATCGTCTCTAGTCTCTTCTTTATGCTGAACAGCACAGTACAATACACTGTATTTACAAAACCTCCGATTCTTCTCACTGCTCTCTTTTGGGCACTTCCCAGCCGATTGACCTTTTCCCCGAAATGCAGTGCCCCAGACCAAAGGCAGTAGGTGAGGCTACTGCAGTAGCAGCGTTATCAGTGCTGTGCAGAATGGAGACATTACTCCATGTGCCTTGCAGGCTCTGTTCCAACTTACGCACCCCAAGATGACATTTGCTTGGGGTTCTTTAGGGCTTTTTTTTGGCAACATTGTCAATTTGTATTCAGCCTGTGATCTGCAAAAGAATGCAGACCTTTCTCAGAAAAGCTGCCACCTGACCAGGCTTATTATTGTTCCTTGCTGCATATCAGTTCCAACAGGTTGTGGTAAAGGGATGTGCCATAAGGAAGATGCAAACTTCCTGAACCTGAGGTAAATGATTGCTAGACCACAAAACTGAGTCACAATGAAAGGGTGATTGTTACAGTCACTTCTGTTGTCCAGCAGCTGCGCTGTGTTCCCGTGGAATGGCTCTGTAAGCATAACACCGTAAGCTTTGTGTGAGAAGAATGACTGTCAGTAGGTGCTCTCAGAGATTAAGAAAACACACACATATCCAGCTCTTCTGGGATGTAAAGTCTCTACACATTACAGGAAGAGGGAACAGGAATCCAGAAAGAGTGTGAGCTTCTCCTTCAAGAAATATACCCTTCTTTGCTACTACCTTCAACCCTTTTTCATGGCTTAGTACAATTTCTACCATTAGGCCAGATGTCTTTGTTAAGAATTGATATCAAAGAAACTTACCCACCCACCTAGCCCGCAGTTACTTCTTATGATATAGTATTTCAGACTAACACAACCAACAAAGGGAGCTATTGATCAACACACACACATTTTATTTTTATGGATTTTAAGGTTGTAAAAGCTAACTGGCACAAGCCAGTTATTTAACAAAAGTAGTATTTAGGGGGTTTTTTGTGAGGAATTGGGGTTAAAGAAAATCCCCTGAGTTTTTCTTGGAGAAAATATGTAATATACTTCCTGCCTGCTATATAAAGAAACAGATCCATTTAATACCCTTAAACCAGCATTATTCTTAAATCTGTCCTAAAACTCATGTTTAGGTTCTTGTGCACAGGCCATGGCACATAAGGGACCACAAATAAAGTTTGGAAGAGAAAAAGAGAAACATACAGATCTACAGCACTGACAACAGTGCTTACCGTTTTATGGTAGATTACTAGTGTGATTTCTCATGTGCTAAAATAACACTAAACTATACTGCAAAAACTATATGGACAGAAGCTGAAGAATCAATTTAGCCTAAAGAAAAGGAAAAATAACCCAAACAAGTTCAAGCCACTCTGAAATTTAAATTAGGGAAACTAATATTTTGGTAGGAAAAAATATCATTGGTAGCTATGTTCAGCAGATCGTCCTGATATCAGCCTCAAAATAGCTTCATCATAACTCAGTGAAAAAACCCCAACAAAGCAACACACCACAGTGACCTGTTATAACAAAATGGTCTTCAGCACAGGTGATAGATGCTCTGTTGGAATTACATACCCAAAATTCTATGCTAAATCCCAGGCTTGCTGATCTGATGCAGGCCACAATGCAAGAACATGGTGTCCAGTTTCAAAGGAGTCTTCACCAGTGCACAGCACCTGGGAATCCAAACTGGACCAAGAAAACTCAGCTTCCTGAATGTCAGGGGGTGCTATTAGTTTGTCATGGATGATCTCACAAGGAGGGAAGATGACAATTTGGCTTGCTCACTAAAAGTCAAGACAAACGGGCTTTACTAGAAGGCATAACTCAATCAGTATGTTTCCATTGCCTTCTGTGGGTAGAAGTTGAGTTTGTTAGCATGTATATCATTTCCTGAGAACTTCTTCCTCCCAGATGCTCACCCTGATTTATGGGGGAAAAAAAAAAAAACCAAACCAAAATTAAAAAAAAAAAACAAAAAAAAACCACAAAAAACCATAAAAAACGTACAAGCACAGTTCTTCTATCAGTCAAATCGTAAGATTTATTAAGACGTGAATTACATCTTCAGGCAACTCTTCAACTCCTTTTCTATTTGTTTTCTACATGCCATTAAGAGGAAATTCAGACTTTTTATGTATGTAGCTACACAGAAAAGCTACCATATTACCATGCAAACTTACAAGCTGCACACGTGAATGCTTTTGTCCAAAATAACTGAGAAGTAGTTTATAATTTAGAACTGGGTGACTTTAAATTATGTCCTCTTGGATGAAGCACATTTCACTTCACATCACTATAACTTATTCATATTGCCGTGACCTTACTGCCTCGTATCTCCAGAGCTCCCAGAAGAGACCACAGTAGTTGACAAGCAGAACAACTACCAAGGAAATGGAGGCTTTTACAGAGCAAAGAAACATTTATAAATGGCTGCACATCACTAATCTTAACTGATGCCAGGCACACACAACTCAGAAAATGAGTAGATACAAGCATTTTTGCACATATATGCCACTCCTCATATGGCATGAACAGGAGTCTTTTCATTCACAAAATCCACAGAGATCCGGCAGCATATGTATTTTATAAAACAATTACACGGGCATCCAAGAGTCCTTACCACCATCTGACATTCACACAACAGCTCTCCCATCTCTATAAAATGCAATGTGGCATCTCCATTTCCCTAACCTCTTATTAGTGATAATGCACCTGCACAGTGACAGCCATTCCAAGGTCAATATGATGAGCATGGAACTGATTGGATTGAGAGTCTTTGCCAACTGCATAACCATTAAACCCAGCTTGAGAAAGAAGATGAGACCAAGCAGCTAGAGAAAGGAGGAACTGTTCGTTTAAGCAGCAGCAAGGACACATGACAACATCAGAACTACACACTTATATCACAGGCTCCTAAATTCTCTGTTAGGAATGCCTAGAAACCGTGCTTTATTTTACAGCAGGACATAGATATTCTATGTTTTGACAACAGACAGCAACCTAAAGCTCTGAGACTGTGCCACCTTAGAGGAGCAGAACATAAAGGCTCACAAGAAAGTTTATTTGAGATGCACCAACCAGACATTTGCAAATTGCAGTCCTGCAAGGACCCTACACTCAGGGAACTGCAGCCACAGCATATATGCTGGAATGCAGATAATTCCAAGTGCTACACAAAGCATGGTGCTCTAGCAGCTTTACTAAAAGCACAGGACAACTTGGCAATAGTAGTAAATTGCCCGACTAATAAATTCAGAGTATAAGAAACTGCCCTGCTCCACATAAAAGAGCTCAACCCCATATCACAACTCTAACAGGAATGCCTTCATATCAGCAAGGCTGAGACAGCAACTCTCTTCTCACCACTGAAACTGCACCGATGCGTGGAACAGAAGAGAGAAGTCTTGCTCCAATCTCACTTTACAAACCAGTTTATACAGAAAAGAGCTGCTGGGCAAAACCAAAAACCACCCCAGGAAACAGACCAGAACTGAGCACACACCTCATCCCAAAGGAATGCCCTTGCCACAGTACTTCAGACATAGCAGGGAGAATGACTAACCTGGCACTGGGGAGTTAATCCTCTCTATATACAGTGGCAGGTTCAGCCAGAGGATCCGAGAGAGCTTGGCCCATCTTCAGGCTTGGTCTCCCTTGAGAGACATCAGCCACAGGCTTGAAACCAGGCATCCCAGATGACAGGCCAAGTGCTCTATCCTCCAGGACTTAGGGCACTATTCAGAAATCACTGATTCCCTGCAACAGGTCTGTGAAAACACACTACCTTTTGCTCATCACTCTGAACCCCCAATGAGATGTAGAAGCATTAAGGCCTGCACTGGGCTGCAACTCAAAATTTTGGGCTATAAATGTGAAGGTAGATACAATCACAGGCACTACCTTTAGCTCTACAAAGTTATGCTCTACCAAGAATACAGCTCAGGTAGGACATATCTAGTCTGTCACAGTGAGGACCAAACGTGCAGATGAACTCAAAGGTCTTTGATAAGAGGAAGATTCCCACGCAGATAAAAAGATTACACAAAAGTCCCAAGACAGAACAGCTCTCTTGTCAGTCATACAGAAAGTTTCAAGATGGATAAAAATATGAGGAAAGTATTTAAGGTTCCCGATCAGTATTTGCAGAGCAGAAAGCTGATGCCAGGACTGCCTACACCACAAACAAACTGCCTACACCTTAGCTTCTGGTCCACTCACACTGGCTCATGTCTCAGCTCAGACAATCTAACCTAAAACCTGGAGACACGCTTAAGAAAGTAGTCTAGCACTTAGAGTCTATCTCTCAGAGAATGGGTTGAACAGATTCTGAAACGTCTTCCATGACCTCTTTAGGATGTCAGTGCTTTGCACAAGAAGTGGCTGGCCTGGCAAACTGAGAAGAAATAAAGATTTTCCTTATCCTAATAATTTCCCTGATTTAAACCCAGCATGCTCCAGGAGTTCATTAGGAGGCTCCTCTTACTCTCCTGGACTATATAACTGCTTCATTACAAACTCGTACAAACAAATCTGAACTTTGTAGTCATCCAGAAAGTATATCCCTAGGCAACAGGCAAATAAATTCCAAGTACCAGTCACCATAAAGCACATAGAGTAGACAGACGTACATAGTCCACTCTAACACATGAATCACTGTACAGGAATGAGTATGCTTGTCTTGTCTTTTACCATACACAAGATTTCTAGTAAGGAATATGTTAAGCTTGGCACGACTTTTACAGCAAAAAAAAAAAAAAAGCTGACAAGCATACAAGTTATCAAGTAGATATTATCCATAAAATACTTGAAATCTTTGCCTAAATGAATGCAGTTTTCCTTTGGTGTCTATAGAAGTTACTAGGAATGAAATTAGAGCATCCAAGATATCAGCAGGATGTGCTCCAATGACTGAACTGATACTTAAGCCAAACATTTAACTCTGTTTGTACAGAAATACTAATAATGCTTTTAAAAGTATCAAAGCATGTATGAACAGCCATCTCTATCCAGCATCTGTAAATGCTATTCAAATTGAGCTTAGCCTATACAGACTAATTTTGACCAAGAAATTAGTAAAGTGTAGCAAGAGAGATACTTTGGGGTCAATTTTCACAGCAGCATGATGACCCAAAACTATTAATAAGTTTGCACAGTACACAAAGAAATTGTAGATCAATGTTATGTAACACAAGTGTAAGGAATTTCTAAGGTAGAGAGGACGGTAGCAAAGCACTTAGTCAAAAAGAGAAACAAGGACAATAGAGGAGAAAGTCCATTTTGGAGATTGCTAAATATAACAATGTACAGTACACAATACCAAGAAGTTTTTAACAGATTTTCTGAAATTAACTGTAGTTTCCAGGTATGAAAAACAGTGTATACCAAACCTCAAGGCCCTAAAAATTTACATTTTTTGTATGCCCAACAGAGGTAAAAGCATCTTTTTGAGCATCACAAAAACTAACCTAAAAATCTCACACAGAGGCAAAATTCAGCACTATTTATCAACAACAATTTGTCTTGGAGAACCACATGAAATTAGACATTAAACCAAAATTTGGGGCTCTTTTTATACTTAAAAAAAATTCTAGTAAATTTTGCTGAAGTTTGACAGAGGGGATACAGAATCCAAGTACAAAAGCTGATGTAAAAGTTTCTGTCAGTTTCTTGAAACAGTTTTCTATTCTGCCTCCTTCATCTTTACAGAAAGAAGTGCTGTCAACAGAAATTTCACAGGGACTGGTGTTTTTAGCATGACATGCTTTAAATAAATTGTATTTGAAGTCTCATACAATATATTCTGCAAGGTTTGCAGCATATTTTTCAATTATCAAAACTGGTTTAGTATCCTCATTATAAACTTAGTATTAGAATGAAGTAAGAAAAAGTTGTTATTCAGTACCAGAAGCTGCAAAGCATGTGCCACAAGACCTTGGACCCACATGGAGTTTAAACTCCCAATTAAATAATAAAATTGTGCAATATACTTCAAAAATTATCCTCTAAGCTATTCAGATAAAGTCTAATTACAGCTTATCAACCTAACCTTTACCTGTGGGACAGCACAAAATAGACGCAGTTATACCATCTTCAGATGTCTCATTCACATCCCCGATGAATACAAGCTTAATCAGGGGCTTCTAGACCCTAATTCTACGTGTTTTCACATAACTTGAAGGAAAGTTATTCCCAAACGTTTAACACTTTTTAATAACTCGGCTTCAGAACAGGACCAGCGAAGATCCCAAATCACTCTATTTCCAGGGGAATACCAGAGACCTCTCGGTAAGCAGGGGGCAGAAATGCACCCAGGCAGGCAGTAACGTGGGGCTGCGCCGGGCCCTCGCACACCCACGGGGACGCTGCACCATTCCGGATCGCGTTTCCCTGGAGCGGCCGGCAGCGCCCAGGTGAGCGGGAGGCAGGAACGCTTCGCCCGGCCCGGCGGCAGCGGGGCGGGGTGCCCGGGGCACTGCGAGCCCTGCGGCCCCGGTCCCGGCGGGCAGAGCCGGTCCCGCCGAGGCACGCTCCGAGTGCGGTACGCCCGAGCGCGGCGCGGGCCACGGCCGAGCACGGAGCGGCCCCAGCCCCATCCCGGGGCCGCCGCCTGCCCCGGCGCTCCCCGCCGCGAGGGCCGCCTCCTTACCGGCACAGCTCGGCGAAGGCCTGGAAATTCAGTTTCCTGATCTTCTTCTCGCTCAGCCAGTATCCCACCCGCTTCCCCTTCAGGAAGGTCTGCATGGTGCCGCCCCGCGAGCAGGGGACCGGTCCGGGGCAGCGGGGCAGCGCGGCTGCCGCTCGCACTCGGCGCCTGCCAAGCGACGGCTGCAAGAGAAGCAGAGAAAGGAGGATCAGCCGGTTCCCCGCGACGGGCGCTGCCCCCCGCCCGCCCCGCTGAACCGCCGAGCCACGCCGGGCGCAGCCCCCGGCGGGCGGGCAGCCCCGAGAGGCCCTTTCCCGCACCGGCGGGCAGCTCGCCGAGGTAGAGAGAAGCCGCTCCCCGCACCAGCCCCGGAGCGCCCAGCAGAGCAGGCACGCCGCCGCCCAGCCCCGCGGCACGCCCGCAGCGCCCGCACGCACGGACCCCGCAGCCGAGCTCGCCTCCGTGCCCGCCCGCCGCTGCTGCTGCTGCTGCGCGGCCGCGGTGCTGCTGCTGCTGCTGCAGCGGCTCAGCTCCCCATTTGCCCGCTATTCACAGCCGCCTCCACTTCCTCCTCCTCCGGGCCGTCCCCTCCGCCCCGCTCCGCTCCGCTCCCACCCACCTCGCGGGGCGGGCACCGGGACGCTCCCGCCCCGCCGCAGCACCCAGGGGCCCGGCAGGCTCCGCGCCGCCGCCGCCAGGGGGCACCCGCGCCCCCGCCTTAAAGAGACAGCGCCCCTTTCTGGGCCTGGCCCGGCCGGGGGGCCCGGGGGCGTGGCCCGTGCATGCACCGTGGGATTTTGGTTCACTAGGGAGGAACAGTTTTACACCTACACTTACTATTGGTGCTACTAGAAGTGGTTGGTCAGTACCCCTTTCACAGAAAAAAGGTTCCAAGTAAACATAAGTCTTCATGCAAAACCAAGGATCTTCCTTCTTCCAGCATTTGCAAGTATCTGTAGGGATTAAACGGAGTTTGCAATAATAGCTGTCTCATATTTAACTTTATTTTGCAGGAGGCAGAAGGCAGGCAATGCAAGCATGGATTGACATTCTAATTTTTTGGGTTGTGCATCCCTAAATACTGAGGCAGATTTTCTGTGCTTCATTTCAGAGGAAGACTCTTTCAGTCTGAATTGCTGTGCTGTCTCACAGCAAAGTATCATTTCCCCGTTTCTATTTTTCCCCTTCATCTGAAACGATCATGATTTCAGCCTGAACATTTTTCTCTGTCTCTCCAGCAATGGAAAGCATGGAGTTGACAATAACGATGTCCTTCACAGAGGAGTTGGATTGCAGTACCTGCAATCCTGAGCTGAGGTGCAGATGATGCTTCTATGATGACGCTTTCTGTGAACCAGCCCTGGAGCCCTGTGCAGTGGGAACTGCTCAGCGAGTTCTGCTGACTCACAGTGCCACAACAAATGCGGTTTAGTAACTTCAGCAGAGTACTGGAAAAATGGTAGAAGTATCTATATGAAGGAAAGAAGGGTGAAAGCCTTAAGAATTATGAAAGGAGTAATTGATTTAGGGAGTTGGTAGAAAGCATTTTACATTCCTGTCATTACTCACATGAAAGGTGCAGTCATCTTGACCCAAGGGTATATTGGAAAATAGGCAAGGAATGGAAACACCTGCGAACAGCTCATACCAACGGTTTGTGAAAATTATATCACTGTATTTTTTTCTCCATTTGCGATTGTTTTGAGGAATAAATGTCTTTCTTTTCCTCCTTCCTTTTATTTGCCACTGATATGTTCTAACCTTTATTTTACAGAACACTTTATCTTAATCATATTCACACATTTTTTTCACAGTTTATCAAGTAATGTAATCAGAATTAGTAAATGTATTTTGATAGCATGATTTCTACTGCAGAATATTTCACTGATATTTAAACATTTTATGGGAGCAAGGTAATTTTGAAAAAATTTGTAACTCAATAATACAAGACTTTATCAAACATTATCAAATTAATATAAGAATCCTGAAACAAATTGACTTGGGTTTCTTGTTATGAAGTGTTTCATTTTGCCAGTGTCAGTGCTTTATTTCAGCTATCATTTCACTGGACTTTTTTTAGACTTTATTAAAATTTGTATATTAAGCTCAAAATTTATATTTGTATCAGAATGGAATATGAATGTATTGAAACATGAAATTATTGAAGCCAATTTCCTAAATTATTTCTTTCTGAATATTTTTTTCTTTAAGAAACGTCACAGCTTCAGGCCAATCTAAAACACAGTCTGCAGAGACAGAAATATTTATGTACTTTTTTCCAGACGCAGGAGAGCAGGTTTTTAGAGGTTCTGAGCATTCCTAGCTCCTGTGGAAATGAAGCACATGCATTAAAAAGGAGGAATTTGCTTTGCTCCCATATAGACAGATTAGAATGACACACATCAAAGACCAGGTTCAATCTTAGGAAGGAGAAAGCTGGTAAATGCATTCATTTTAAACTACACTTTTTGAATCTTAACCCTTGAGCAATTGCAGATGTGGGAAACATATTTCACGTGATGTGCCACTGTACTGCATCTTGCTGTACAATGTTGCTAAATAAATTACAATCCTCTGTTTACATTGCAGAGCTTGTTCAGGCAATGCCAAACCTGCGACCACAGGAAGCCCCAGGGTAATGTTTATGCAATTCCTCATCAGGAGCAAGCTGACTATTCCTCTGACTTTCTGTGGCCCAAGTCTGTAAGATGCAGCTCATGAGCTGCTTCATACTAATTAAAGGGGTGAGGTTTGATTAGGATCTTGAGCCCTCTGGCAATCAGGACTATCTTCCTCTTCATCTTAACTTCAGCTACAGGCCAAAGCAGGTTTCCCTTGTTCAGCTGGAGCCTCTCACACCTTATCTTCTAACCCTTTCAACAAATACAGGGGCTCTGACAAGGCTGGATACTTGCAGTGTGGCACAAGTTAGTGAAATTCCATGGAAATTAATTTTAGAATAATATGAGACATCTCCATTTAATTAGTTATCAAAGTATATTTTCTCAGTATTTTTGAATTATTTTTTCAGCACCTGGCAGAAGTCGTGATAGGATCTTTTGCAATGAACAGAAAGGTGGTGAAGTGATTTACATTGCCTGCAGTTTAGGGTTTTAACTTTTATTTGCATGTTTTATTATTACAGGATAATTGTTACTCTGCTGTGGGTGGGCAGGAGGGTGGGCTGAGTCTCCTGTATCAGAACAGGTCTTCCCTTTCACCAGTCAAACCACCGAGTCGGATCATGTGCTAACACAGCACTGCTGGAATGAGGTTGTAGGTAGGACAGAACACAAGGAAAAGTCTGCATGTGCTGCACTGCAGCTTCTGGGCCCTGAGAGAGAGACTCAAAGAGTAGTCCAGGTGCTGCACAGCATGTGGAACTTGTCATCACCAGTGAGGCAGCCAGAGAGAAATGTATGAGAAGCATGGTGAGCTTGCCATCTCCTCAGGTTTCTGCTACATCTATAATCGATTCATCGTTGCAAGATTAATCGAAAGGACAGATAGGACTTCTTTCCACAGTGGTTCACTAGAGGATGTGTGTGAGAGAAGCTGAGTTTCTACAATTTATGCTTGTTTTTTGCCTAATTTCTGACAGAACACATACCTGCAGCTATTGTCTGGAAACTTCTCTGAATGTACTCTTGGCCAGTAGCTTTTAAACAATAAATCAGTGAAGGTTAGTCCTGGGGGTGAAAGCTCATTTCTAATGCCTGAATTCAAAGTATCATTACCACGGCTATCCTTTACCAAGGGCCACACAACACCTGCCCATTGTGGGGTTCTGGTCACGGCTCCCAGGAGGGACCTCCTTCTAGGCCCTGATGCTGCCCAGCTGCTCTGCTCTGAAGGACTGGGTGCCCATGGAGATGGCACAGGACAGGCTTTGCCAGCTGGAAATTGGACAGTCATTGTACAGTCAGCTAATCAGGTGTTGTTGCTCAGAGCCACAGTCCCTCCAAAAACTGCCACTTGTTCTCACTTTCTGTCACACCCTCCTTCACAAGTTGATGGGCTTATGTGGCTGTGCAAGAATAGAATAAGGGAGCCAGTAACTGAGATGGACTTAAACAAACACAGAAAGTTGATAACAGTATTTAAGTCTTAGCCTAAACCAATTCCTAAGTCTGGATCACCATTCTTTTTCCTACCTGTTAATAGTGGCACAAGGCAGTGAAGAGGTTGGAAAAAAGAAGCCAGGAAGAGAAGGCATCAAACTGCCTCTTTTGGTGGCAATCCCACTTCACAGCAGGAGGAGGGATGGGGAAGGCATGGTTCACCTCTACTCCCCCACTCACCTGACAACCTATGCAGTTTATGCTTCGGTATTTTGATTTTATAAAGAAAAGAAGGATTAATGAGTACTGCCTGAGGCTCATTGGTATTTCTCATCTTTTAGAGATCAGAAGAAGGAATTCAGCTAGAAGAGCTCAGAAACCTTCCAAAAGAAGGTACTGATGCCTGGCAGATGACCAGCCCATGCAGGGCCACTCAAGGATTCCTAAGCTCGCATCAGCCCCAGTGGAGTGCTGCTCAGATGGCTACCTGTCACACTGAGAGCACAGCAAGCTCTTCTGCTCCAGCTATGAAAACAGGATAACTATGGGGTTTTTTGAAACTGCAAGGAAACCACCTTTATGCTTTATAAGAAGGTACACCTTACTTTATATACAGCTCAAAAAGTTTTCTTTCCTGAGCTCTGATGAATGTACATGCTACAGGAAAGTAAGAAAAGGTCT